TCCCCAGCCAGCGAATGCGATTGCTGGCTGGGGATTTCGGGGACTTGAAGTCCAGACATCTTCAAGTTGCCAAGGTTGAGAAACACTGCTCTATATTATTTAGAGTTCCTTAAGTAAGAACTGTTGCTTTGAGCCTTTTAAAAGGAATAAATTTTAGTCAGGTTGCGGTCAGAAGGCAGCCCAGCTCTTTCTCCCTAAAAATAAAAATTCATTTTAAAAAATCATAGGGGAAAATGTGGAGAAAAAAAATTATCGGGGGGGGGGGAGTGGTGGGATTAAATAATTTAATAACCAGTTCTCTGCCCTAAAGACCGGCTGGGTGGGTGTGGCCAGGCAGCAAAAAACAAGCCTGCAGCCTCCTGGGAGCAAAAACGGGGCACTGCTGGCCATGCCCCATCCCCATTTTGGGCCTAGTAGGCCTCCCTGCACTTACTGGGGCGCCAAAACAGGGCAGCAAAACAGGACATGTGGGGCCTCCTAGAAGGGGCGGGGCAGGGCCAGCCAGCAATTTAAGAACTGGTTCGGCCAAAGTGGTGCGAACTGGTTGAATCCCACCACTGATTGAGGGGATAGGTTACTGCCCATTTTACTACAATTGAAAGTTGGAGGAGGAAAAACTATTTGCAGGAGCCTGGTTTGAGTTTAACAATTCTGTTTGCTTCTTAGCTGAGCCTAACTTTATACACAAACACACAGCCAAGTTTGTTAAACAGAGCAATTGCCATGAGCGCATGTAAACTAGCTGTTGTTTCTGCAGTCCAGGAAGACTCAAAAATGACTGCTCATTTTACTTTTTTTTTCTTGATAGGTCAGGATTTTGCCTCAGTGATTGTGAACCTGGGGAACTGTTATTCTTTCTTTTTCTACAACATCAACTATTTCTTTATTTTCTCCCCTTTCCTCTTCCCCACAAAATCCCTGCTTCATCAACATCAGAGTTAAATCTAGGCAGATGATTTTTAAATCAGGCCAGGTCTTAAGCACATGATCTGGTATAGCGGCAGAAATCCTCAGAAGTATTCTTAATTTGGTCAACAGATCCCAAGTTCTCATTGGATACCATGCTTCTCAGGGTTCACCCCCCAAATCTATAACCCAATAAACAGCCCAGGAATGTAATTGATTGCTTACCTGTTTAATTATCAACCTTTATAACAGTCATTGCATAAGAAAGGAGAAGAGAGAGAGAGAGGAAGGAAGGAAGGAAGGAAGGAAGGAAGGAAGGAAGGAAGAAAGAAAGAAAGAAAGAAAGAAAGAAAGAAAGAAAGAAAGAAAGAAAGAGAAAGAAAAAGTAAGAGATGAAAGAAAAAAAGGAG